TCCGTCCAGGTTGGCACCAGCTGAGCCACAGCCCGGCCCAGTGGCACTGTCTTGTTCGACTCTCGATCGCTGACTGCCGGCATGAACTCGTCCAGGCTGTTCACGTCTGGAAGGGACAGGTAGATGGGTAATATATAGGTAGATAGATAGATAGATATAGATAGATAGATAGATATAGATAGATGTAGATAGATAGATAGACAGATAGATAGATAGATAGGTAGATAGATATGTATAGATGGAGAGATATAGGTAGGTAGAAATAAGGATAGATCAGATTAATAGATATAGATTGATACAGATGGATTGATAGACATTTAAACTTATAATAATAATAATGATAATACTAATAATAATAATGATGGTGATGATTATTATCATCCTTATTATCATTATTATTGTTGTCATTACGGTTATTATCATCATTTTTATCATTATCACTATTGATATGATTATCATTATTATCACCATCATTATTATTATCATTATTATTATCATCATGATCGTTACGGTTATTATTATTATCATCACTATCATTATCATTACTGTTTTTATTATTATTATTATCATTATTATCATTACTCTTACTATCATTATTATCATTATCATTACTACTACTACTACTACTACTACTACTGAAGCTGCTGCTGCAGTAGTAGTAGTAGTACTATAATTCCTATTGTTATTATCACCATAATGATAATCGTGGTCATTACTATTATCATCATAATCATCCTTATAATTACTTTCATTATCGTCATCATGACCTTGAATGTGAATCATGTAACTATAACTGAATCCATCATCACTGCTATTATCATTATCATATTGTTTTCTTACCGGCAACAGGACTAAATTCTCGCTTCTTGATAAGCTCAACATTTTCACCGACGAGTCTGCAAGTCGCCATTCCTACGGCAAACGACTGGAATTTCCTCGAAAGATCCTGGATTTGGATTTGACCAAGTCGCTTATGATGGCCGCGCTCTCCTGTGGTAAAGGAAGGGGGTTATTGATTGATTGACTGATTGAGGTCAGTGATCAGGGGTTCGTGGTGTGATATCGATTTGTGATGAATTGAAAAGCGCTAGAAGTGATTAGGTTGGTGAATTGGACAGCTATTTAATGCAAGGGGGATTGAGAGGTTGTTGGAGAGTAGCTGTCTTTGATTAATAGATTTTTGCCATCATTAGATAAGAGTTCAGCTATTTGTGCTATGTGTGATTGTCAACTTTATTGAGAGGAAGATGCAGTTTCATAATCAATTCCTATTATCTCCAAACCCTACTCTCTTTAACACACACAACACGCACACACACACAGACACACAAACTCTGAAAAACATGCACACACTGTAACACACATCCCTTCCCTCACACACGCACCTACACACACATAAACTCACCTCAGAAAGGGGAGGATCGAACAGCAAGAAAATCCTTGGTGTTTGAGGCTTGTGGAAAGTGACTGCCACTTGCGCTGGAGTTGCGTGAGATCCGCTTGTCTGTCTGTGTTGAGCGAGAAAGAAAAGGTTTAGATTTATTATTTTCATTATGATAATCAACATTGTTACCATCTTCACTTTTGCCATATTCGTTATCATTATTGTTACTGATATCATGATTATTTTTCTTATCAAGATAATCATTATTACTATAATCATTAGCCAAAGTATGCACAGGTAGACCCGCCTATCTTGATAAAAATCCTAGTTGTAAACTTTCAAGCTAAGCCCCACCTCATCAACTTTATTCATTGTGAATATTAGATATTCTTTATTTATCTATTTCTTGATTTATTTTCCGATAGGCTTTTTTTCTTCTTCTTCTTTTTTTTACTTGTTATTACCGAACAATTTCAAAGAAAATGCATTGAAATAACGCTTGCCATAAAGCATCAAGTAGGGCAAAAAGTGGGCGGAGCTAATGACATCACGTTTAGCTAATGAAAGCGCGCACCTTTTGATATCAGATATAATGAGATACATAATTATTTGTATAATTTACTCGATATTGTTAAACTTGCCAGGAATAGGACTAAAATTCCCCTCTTTTCTCTATGACAAGGAAAGTTCATTGCCATTAACAGCCGTTCGTATGCTGATTGAACAGGCTAAATGGAAGTGGAGCCGCCTGGGTATATGTACCTTGTTATTTTCATTATTGCTATTATTCTTATTCTTATTGTTGTTGTTGAGTTGTTTTCATCATCATTACTATTCTTATCATCATTGTTGTCACTATTATTATTATTATCATTATTACAATCATTATCATTGTTATTATTATATTACCATCATCATCATTATTATTATTATCATTATTATTGTATTATTATTATCATTATTACCATTATCATTATCACTACTATTAATATAATCATTATTAACGTTGGTTTTGCTGTTATTAACTTTACGACTACTACTGCTACTGCTACACCTATTATCATTATTATTATGATTATTATGATTAACATTATCAACATGATTATCATGATTATT